AGAAGACTGCTTTTGATTCTATCCTCATCTGGAAGTGACGTCACATTATCTGCTATTTGCATGTTTTCCACAAGCACCAAAATACCAATTTTAGGTTTCCTATAATTTTACTTTTACATCGGGAATATTGCACATTTTAATGATCCCATCTAGATCAGTTAACTTGTTTTCTTTGTTAAAACGAAATAATTCTGCAACTTGGTAAATGATTTCTGAGCATTGCATTTCCAATTTACAACATGGCTGTAAGTGGTGCAACTACATGTGTATTCACAAACCAGAGTAAATTTATGCCGCGTTACCAATCTTTCAGAATATATAATTTTCAAAATATATTCAAGGATAAATTTCACTATGCCAGAAGAAGTCGATTAATTTATTCCCAAATTAGCAGTTTTAAAGGCAATAAAACAATATTTTCACACCACGATGTCAAATTATATCTCATGGTTACAGCCAAGAGTTTGCATGATCCGAAATTTGAGAGTCTCTTAATTTCCAAAAACCCGTCATAAACATCATAATCCACGGTATGTGATGCACGTGTAATTGCAATAAAAATCTCGTAGATCCTCGGTGCACCAATTACACAACTCCTCCTTAACGACTGTTTTAATTAATACGTTTATTTTTATGATGTCAGAACACGATGAAGGTATTCAGAATGGTATAGTCATCGCCCAAGCTCACTGCAGCGATCTTGTCAAACCTCTTAAACATTTTTGACAGCTGTCGAAAAAAAAATAATAAATCGGGGGTATACGTATTGCGTTCCTCGATTTTTATTACTGAGCACAGATTCTTCTAAATGTATTAATGAAGAAACGATCGAACAAGTGTCGAAAGTATCCAAGTTGAACAAGAAGAAACTTGTTATAGAAATCAGCAGCAAGCGATCCTATCTTGTAGCCTTAAGTCGAAACAATCAGGAGAAGTGTATATATGCTGCTATGTGCATTTACGATAGATGTATTTATCCATGATGTTATTGTCCCCCGCTTGAAAAGTGGGGGATATTAATTTGGGTTTGTCCGTCCGTCCGTCCGTCCGTCCGTCCGTCTGTCCGTCCGTCCGTCCGTCCGTCCGTCTTTCTGTCTGTCTGTAACGCTTTCGTTTCCACACGATATCTCGAGAACCCTTTGAGCTTTTGCAATGAAATTTAGCATAGCAACTCCCTATGTACTAAAGAAGACCCCTATTGATTTTGAGGTCAAAAGGTCAAAGGTCAAGGTCATAAATAAGCAAATTCTGTCTGTTAAAACACTTTCCTTTCCACACGATATCTCTAGAACCATTTGAGCTATTGCAATGAAATTTTACATAACAACTCCCTGTGGCCTAAAGAAGACCCCTATTGATTTTGAGGTCAAAAGGTCAAAGTTCAAGGTCGTAAATTTATACATTCTGTCTGTGTGTAACACTATCATTTCCGGGCGATATTTCAAGAAGATTTTGAGCTTATGCAACGTAATTTTATACCAAAACTCCCTAGGACGTCTCTCGCCCCTCTCAAAGTGCCCCGCCCCGTTTGTTTTATAAGTATTTATAGTATTACATGTCGCTATTTTTAGCGCAGGAGCATGAGGAGAGTTATTGCGTATAAAACAGGTTCTCGGCGGACTTTATGTTCTTATTACATCTATTAGAACTGTTTAATAAAGGCTAAATAAATCAAACACCATGGATTGTGTAAAATTTTGAGAATACCGAACATGAAAACATGAATATATACATGTATGTGACTTCAGTTCTGCATATACTTCACTCCGAGTAAAGCGACTCCGTGCTCTAGTGGTTATGTCTCTCGCTTCAAATGTGAAAGGTACCGGGATCGAGTCTCGGTTGAATCGTTCTTTTTTCTTTTTTTTTTTTTTTAAATACTTTTTTTTTTTTACTAAATGATAGTATTCAGCATGTGAAATGAAAAATTTATGAGGTTATAAAATCATCATTACAGTGTGATAAATATTCCATATGAAAAAATCTTCTATACACATAATAAAGAATAAGCAATCAAATCTTTATATGCATATTGACATACATGTATTTTATTTCCTTCAGTATACATGTATACATTTAATAATTCTACAAATTCAGTCAGGGGGAGCCGACTTTTTCCCTAAGCGGGGGACACGAATTCTCTGAATTAGCTTGTTTTTATTAGAACGGTTGCAAAAAACAACCTCATGGAAGTTAGTGGCCAGTATTGTTGCAGGGGCACCCAGTTTGTATCTGAAAATCAACGAATTTTTTGGGGGGAATGTCTGAATGTGTAATGCAATCTAATGTCCATTGGTCAGCATGGGGTACAGAATTTGGCGCAGTTGTAAATTAAAAGCAGAAAAAAAACATAAAGCTGTATACACGTTGCAAATGAGCCCATCTTATGTATGAATGTAAACATTTTTTGGGGGGTGGGGTGAAAAAAATTGTTTTACATGATGTTTGGAATGTAATATAGGACTCTATAGAAAGAAATTTTTATTAGAGCCAATTTCTTAATCTTTATTCGGCGGTTGTTATCCATGTTTTTTATATATCAAATCAGAGTAGTTTTAGTTTTATTGTATATTGAACACTATGTTTGGAAAAATGCGTGTTCTACAAAAACGTAGAAAATAATCTAAGTACCTCTGGCTAATACAGTTTAATTTCGCCTGCGGAGCACATTGGTACAGGAATCACTTTACCCAGGTCTGTGTGTCTGTCACATCCTACATCTTAATTGGGAACTAAAATTGTTATAAAGTTAACATATACGTATGTGCTTGGCGCTATAGGATTACCATCTCATGATCCTGGAAGTTGACATTTAACATACATTGTACATATATTACTGACATTTTGAGATAACTTTATTCTATTTAGCAGGTGTAAAAAGGACATTTTATCATAAGATATTAAATAAAAGAACCTGATTTACAGATAACTAAATGTGTTTTGGATTTTTATCGACAGGGTCTTTCAAAGCACATTATTTACAATAACAAAATAAACTGAAAATACACTTTCAGGAATCCAATATTTAATTTTATCACAATATTACTATAGTATTCATGGATTTTTCAAGCAAATGCATGAGTTAATGATTCTAGTAAATTTGACTTATACAAAATTAGCAAAAACAAGCTGCGGTGAGCTTGCCTATGAGCATAAGAATACATAAAACAACAATTATTAGAATAATAATTGTATCTATGTATTGAATGCGATAACTTAGCTGGAGGCTTCCGGTAGGATTAATTTTGGTAGATAGTGAACATTCTTAGATCCACGCCTTGGTTGATGGATTACATATAATAGGTGTAAGGTCACGTGGTCAGCTCAGCGAGTCATTCAGTTGTATTGTGATAACCCGCATGCTGACCACGCTAACATCAGGCACGTCTATTTTGAAGACCCTCCTCCACCCCGGCATTCCTACCCCTTAAAATGGGTATTAATGTGTCATGTAAACTCATATATTTGATTGGTTCTGATTTAATTTGTTTATATTTTTTTATGTACAATTATTTTGTTACACTGCTATCCTTGGCCTATTTTGTTTTGATGTGACATCTTTTTGCTAACTTTTTCATATGATGTTTTGATTGTCTTGTCTTACAGATACTTTTTCTAGTCAGTTTTGGGGGATCAGACATTATCATATTTTACGTAACTGCTAATCAAAGCCTGTGAATCTGATCCCCTTCTTGTTTGTTAAATTGTTCACATTTATACCGTCATTTTAATAAATGACATTATTCATCTCTATGAAATTGTTTTATTCGACTTATACAAAATTAGCAAAAACAAGCTGCGGTGAGCTTGCCTATGAGCATAAGAATACATAAATTAAAGAGCAAGAGCCCTCGTACTTAGTATGAGTATATCAACAACAATAGACTTTTCGTCAATTAAATGAGATTATTTAATATGTTAATAAAATAATCTGTCTTATGATCTTCAGAAATAGGCCTTTCATTATGTATTGGCATATTTTGGATCAGAGGTTGTGCTCTATATGAAATTTTGAAAAAATGCTTCTACTTTAGGTCATTTTCAAATGAATTTACAGGATATGAGGAAAATGACGCATTTTGTGACGTCATAATGCATTGACTAGATGTGAAATTACGTCACAATTAATAGATACGTGGTCACCAACAGTCCAAGTGATAAATACTGCATTTGCAACCAAAATGAGCAGTTTTGAATTTTCAGAAATTCTCAGGGCCAAATAAGGCCCAAAGTGGCTCTACCTCTTATATAAACAACCTGACCAGTATAACTTAAGATTTGTTTTACATCTGTAAGGATGCTTTAAAGCAACGCACTTTGGAACACATCAGTTAATACCTATATTTGTACTGATTTGCCACTCGGGGTGGTAGGTAATCTTTTCTTAGGGGGGGTGGCTTTTTTAGTTCACAAACAAGGTCTTGTACTTTTAGCATTTTTATTTTAACAACCAGTGCACAATAATTAAGATTTGCTTTTGAAAATGCTTAACATAATCAGAGTGTTATTAATTGATATAAAGGCTTGAAGTTTACTTTTTTCTACTAAGATAAGTTATAAATAGTCTTCAATATTGTTAAAGTTTCGCACTTGCAAGAAGATGTTCATCTCTTATCTTTAACGGTAATTTGAAAATTTTGAGATAAAGAAAAAAATAAGTATACGATGTACTTTATATGAAGTGTGTATTAAAGAACAAACGGGCTGAGAGAGAATACATGGAACTTTAGTCGTCCATACTACACTCATGTTACAAATTAAATTCTTTAGAAATGAAAGAATTTGACCATTGAAATACAATTAATAGACGACAAATTAAAGGAAATAATTTTAATTAAAAAAAAACTTTCATACAAAATTCAAATCATGTTACTCAAGGTGTAAACAAATGAAAGTCTTTATAGAAAAACAAATCGGAAACGGTTCAATTTAATATATTGTGCTTTCTTGTAAAAATAGAGACAATATTCAGACTGATGTTCATGTACTGCATGTACTACTACCTATGACGACGTTTGATTTTGTGACTCCTAGTGGACAACGATTTCACCCGAAAAAGCAATCTGCGGTAGAGAAAGTAAATGAAAGGATTCACGGCATAATTCAACAGAATTATTATCTGTGCTACAGAATAAATTTTTAGTATGACATTGTCATAAATGTCATTGCTTTCTAAAGCACCGAACATCCGATGTTGGTACAGGACACGGAATATGTCAGCAATCACATAAGGGGAGATAAACACGACATAAAGGATTAAAATCACAGTTATCATCCTTGAAATATTCTTAATAGATTTTAATATTCTTTGTTGTAGAAGAGACCTTTTCATTGCACGCAATTCCATGATGTAGAAAATCAAGAAAAACATTATTGGAATTAGTAGAAAATACAGCGCTATGGACAATTGAAGAATGGCGTCCGTTTTCTCTTTAACTTCCTGATTGTAATACTTCCGGTTGTATATTCCGTAGATGATTCCCAAAACGAGGCTGATTAACCAAGAAACACAAGAACACACTATGACTTTTCTAGTAGTAAGACGACATTTCATCTTCAAGGGATGAACTATTAGACCGTAACGAATGGCAGACATCAAAATGATATGCATGGCTGAAGAATTGGTCACAGCTAGAGTACCATTCAGAAGATATTCTTTCACACTTATGTTGGGATAGTTATCACACTGTGCTAGAGGTACCCGAATAAACTGCATACTTAAACTCAAAAAATCTGCAATAGCGAGACATGCTATTGAAACCGGAACTGGCCTTCGCAAACGCTTGTTAAGCACTATTTTGAAAAATGTTGCAATATTTCCAACAACTCCAAGTATCAAAATCACAACTGCAACTATCAGAAACAAATCGTTGTAATTGATGCAATCTTTAAATATATCCACACTGGAGTTGTTTCCTTTTCCGGTGAGATTTGTCATCTCTTTAAAACGTTCAGTTTTCGCATTTTTTAATTAATATAATTATATATATATATTTTTTTTTTACAAACTCCAACACTTTTCCAACACATGCTTGATTTCGATATTTGGACGACATCATCTACTACATGTAACTTGTTCATTTCTCGACGAAATACTGTGTTTTCTAGGGTATGTGATGCACATTGTCATGTTGAATTAAGATATGAGGAAAGATTGTCTAAAAGTATCCGAGCACACAATATTATACGAACTGCTAGACGGTCATAAATTACATTCATATTTCACGTACATATATCATATCGCATGTATGATGCTACATCTACGTTTCAGCGGAAAATGGAACTTACATGTACTGGGAGGCCAAGTCATTTTTGAATTCACTTTAAATCATTCAAATATTATGCCAGCAATATTAAGATTCCTGACCCTAGCAGTTATTCATTCTCCGCCCCATTCGAGATGCTTAACACTGAAATATTTTCCATCCATTATACCCCCGCTTGAAAAGTGGGAAGGTATATAGTGACTGGGATGTTCGTCTGTCTGTCCGTCCATCTGTTACACTATGGGGTACCCAAATCGTATCCGCAAACTCCTCATATACCACTTAATTAATAGAATTTAATGAGACTTTAACAGAATCTTTGTTACATAGTGCCATCCCCTATAATTTACTTTTTCATTCGATACTTATTCCGGGTTTCCCATAGCAAAACATGTACACAGCCATTCTCACTATGATTTGGAAGGATATCCACCTCTTATCCGCAACCCTTGTCATACCACTGAATAAAATTTAATGATACTTTCACATGCAGACTCTTTAATTACCTAATGCCAATGAGACCTCCTATCTTACTTTTTGATCGGACACTTATTACGGGTCCCGCAAAGCAAAACATACACTTTTTTGATTTAAATCATATGAGAGACGGAGGGGGGGAGTACGGAAGCCCGTTGGTGCCATGTACGAAAAATATTTTATCTGGCGGCCGCCACATAAATTATTTTGCAAAAGTTGAGTGTTATTGGGTTAAGAAGATGGATGTTGACACAGCCGCTGCTTACTGATGAAAAAGTTAATGATAAAAAACGAATTCTGAAATATTGGAACACCATTTGTTAGACATCCAAAATGCAAAACTTTATTTAATTCTCAACCAATCATAGCTTACAGCAAACACAAGAATATAGGTGACGAGATAACCTGGTCTCACTAAAACTAACACCATGATTTATGTCCGTGACCCCTGATGCGGCTTCTTAATAACCAAAACACTCTACAAATACTTGCATAATTCAAATTAAATATTAATCTGTTCTATGCAAAAACATATATACTAGAATTGCGGATTGGAGTGTTGGTTCATAACAAATCTCTTACAAGTTTGGTTGATTGATGTCGCTATTATAATTTTAACACTGTGTCCACCTCTGAAATCACACGTTAAAACATATGCATGCGCGCGCATCAGGAAGCCAGGTGTTATCTGGCGGACGCCATATAAATTATGTAGCGGCCGCCAGATATATAAGTGGCGGCCGCTGGATAAATATTTGGCGGCCGCCAGTTAAATATGTGGCGGCCGCCTGATGTTACAATGTATATAGCAGCCGCCAGAAAAATATGTGGCGGCCGCCAGATGTTATATAGCGGCCGCCAGATATTATGTAGCGGCCGCCAGATAAATTATGTGGCGGCCGCCAAATAATAAGTGGCGACCGCGATATATAATATATTTTTTCGTACGTGGCACCAACGGGCTTCCGTATACAATAACTCACCTTTTGCAAAATAATTTATGTGGTGGCCGCCAGATATATAAGTGGCTGCCGCCAGATATAGTAGTGTTGGGAAAAAAAGGGGCAGCCCCCCCGTTGCTACTTGCCTTATATTTAGTGAGCCCAGTGCTCACAGAACATCTGAGTTTTTCTTTAGTTTTCAAAAATATTTAAACAAAAGTTTTTAAACCTTTAAAAATTAAAGAAGGTTTTCTTTAGGAGGCAGCACTTTACTATGAATTTAATACATGTGTAAGTATGATACTAAATAATGAAATTTACCCGTTATCGTTATAAATCATTGTTCTTCCTAGTCTCTGTGTAAATTATTTTGATATCTGCCCAAAAAAATTAAAGTAATTCTGAAGAAAAAGCAGAGCTTAACACCCCATTATAAATTTCATTTCCATTCGATCCTATAGCCCTCGATGCAAATCAATTTAGGAAAGTTTTTAAAGACGAAAATGAGAAATTTAGAGTAGAGGGTCATTCTCTCCTTAGTCTTTCACATGTATTAATTATAATTCCGTTTCAGATTTCATAATCTGATTGGAAATCAAGTTTGATAGACATAGACTTAATTTTTTACAGTATTATTATTATTATTATTCTACTTTTATATAGCGCCCTATATAATTATGGAATTACCCTAAAGCGCTTTACACGTAGAAGACAATTACAATATAATACAAAGGACGGGTACAATATAAAATAGCAAAAAGGGAAAATCATAGGGCATTTTTTTTAATAAAATAAAACCAACTGGATGCTCCATTGTGACTAGAGCCTTATAAACTAAAGGCGAGTCTAAAAAGATGTGTTTTTAGCCGGGCTTATTGCTCAAAGAGCAATAGCCGGCTTATGGGATCCTGTTCAACTTCCTGTTCAAGGCAGGATGTTGACCCAATAGTCGCCAAATTAAACTGACGTTCTGAAATATAGTGTATCTACTTGTAATCGCTGTTGAAACAATTTATACTCATAATCTGATTAATTAAATGTGAATATAAACTGTACTGTAATTATTATTGTGCAGTTATCAAAAATACATTTGTTCTTAGTAGAGAACTTTTAACAAATTCCTACGCATAGCCTGGTTCCCTGTCCCTGTTTTGCTTCGTTTACTCTGCGTCACTGCCTCGGCAATGGTGAGACAGGGTACCAGGCTAAATTTTCCACTTATTCGGCAAACCTAATCAGCCGAGGAGTCCCTAATGATGCAGGTGTTAGGCCTACACAGTGCCCCCCCCCCCCCCTAGACATCGCCAGATTTCGTTTCTGGAGATAAACAAAGAAGACGCCATATATTACACAAGGTATTAGGTATACGCGATTGCGGTATGGCGTTCTCCATGGTCAAATTATACAGCTGGTACAACGAAACTTATGCGGAAATCGGAGACTGCCGTACAATCTGACCACGTTTTAAAGTTTGTGTATGACAAAGATGCGCAGTTTATAAGGGGAATTGTGCAAGCCTCCATGCGAGACCGGAGCTACAGGTTACTGTAAGTTCATCCCATTTCTTTGAGATTTTTGGAAGAATGAAAAGGTTTTTTTTTAAGTCTTTGCCTTGCCAATGACCAAATAAATGGTTGACTACAGTATCTGAAGAAATTTTAAGGAGTTGAATGAATGTCATACAGACCTCTGCCTATGGCTGCTAAATCAAAGCTTTACAGTTTTATGTGAAGAATTAAAAATATATAGGAGTATGTAAAGAAATATTGTAACTGTAAATGGAAGTAACTTTTCTCTATTTTGTTCAATTATAAAGTATGAATTTAGACCATCCAGCCCCTGCATGGGTTTTAGTTTCCAATTTTTATAGCCATAAAATGACTTGGAGTTGTAAAAGGGGTTTTTGAAGAAAAGTAGCTTGCACCCCCATCTTCAATAGAACTCCATTTTTCATAATATTTATTTTTTTTTATCTCTTGAAGAAAAAAAAAATGTAGAGCAAGTTATTGAGTATATTGTTTCTCCAAGGATGAATCCAGGATATGTCTTTGTACTCTCATGTCATCCAGAACTTGTGAATTTTTTCCTCATTTTCCCATTTATTTTCCCATTTATATATATTTTTATTTAAAAAAAATTAAATAAGACACTTTCACCTTGTTATGTTATTTTAAAAAGTTGTCCATATAATTTTGAAGCGATATGAGCAAAAATAAATCGATAAAAATAACCTATTGCAGATTTATTAAGAACAGGTGCATGTGGTGGATTTTGATCCGCTCCCGTATAAAACAAAAATGGCGTCGTACAGCAGACGCTTCATACTCATCGTAATTTTCGTTAAATAATGCAAGTAGAAAAATTACCATGGATAATTTCGTTTAGTATCATTGCATGCAGGAGAATATTCATTTGATTTGCACCAAAACATGACTGATTCTGTCAGGAAAATGGAAAGCTAGCCGAAAATTCTATGGCATGTCCTGTCGCACGACTGCTTTTTTGTGCGTTTTCAAAGACTTGATATATCAATGGTGAGTTTATTAATTCATTCTAAACAACTTTTTCTTTCTCCGAGACGATTTGGGGTTTGGAAAAATTGTGTAATTTATGTATTTTGCAAAAAATTTACAAATAAATACCGTTTGACAGATTTTTAAACGTAAAAACGAAAATCGGCAATAATGGGTACTCGGCAATAATGGGTGTACTCGCACGTTATATGTTTTATCCTGCCTATGCAATAAATCCAGAACAAACCTCTTTCCGAATTTCCTTGACTGAAAGTGTCTATGCAATGTCTTAATACATAATAATAAATAAATTTACAATTCTTTTTTTTTCTCTCTCCACAATTTTCAAGTTTCCATGTAAACATGGTAAACATGCTTTTTACTTTTAAAATTGATAGTATCAGATAATATAAGTAAAATTCTAGGTGGTTATTTTTTTTTTATTTTATTAGATTACTCTTGGTTCTAACTACACAGTTGAACAGAGTACCTGTGAATGTGTACATGGGATGGACAAATGTCACCATAAAGCCAGCATTCTTCTCTATGGGTAATTTATATGCAATTTATGTAATATGTAAATTCACTTGGTCTGTTTTAGGTATGCTTTACCAAATTTAATGTTAAATAGAAATTATATCAAAACATGCACACCAATATATATACCCGGTATATACAAGTGTGCAGTTCACCATGTGACTGTAGGTAGCAGGGTACTATTCGTGCCCTGGAACCTCCAAGTCCACTACCTTGGCATATATAAGCATACTTGTAACTATAAAATCTAACTTTAGGCCCCAAGACTATAATATAACTTAGTAAATTTATGGAACATGTTGATACAGGTACATAAATGTCAGCAAAACTGATGTACGCCAGAGTTGGATTAAGCATCCAGAGTGCGCCACCTCGTCAAACTAAGACGATGGAAGAACTTTTTCCTGCACCTGACAGGTTTATAAATTACAGGTATGCATTTATTATGACTGTTTCATGAATGGTGCAAAATATTAAAAAATGACAGTACCCCAAAAGTGAAAATATAAAAAATAGAGAAATAGCATATTTTTTATGGGCAATATACACTTTTTTCAATGGATGGAACTGTATCTCTCTGGTCGTCCATCCTAATTTTTTCAGACCAGCAAGCTACAGATCTGCAGCTAGCATGGTATATGTAAAACCATTCAGTGTTGTATTATGCTCCATTTTTCAACTTTTGTCAAAAATTACTAGGGCAACAAATAGGCCAGTCAATGATAGGGACAGGGAGTTCCTATATCAGAAATTGACAACTGTAGGGAGATTTTCAGGTTAATATATCTGGTGTTTTATTTTAGTGTCACATTGTTTACAAGTTTATTCTATTGTTACTTTTTTGAAAATTTATACTGTGATAGGATAGAATGCATATACACACATGTATATATATATATATAAATTCACAAAACACCTAACTAACTCATTACACCCGGACTTTGGACTTCAGATATTTAATGGCTTATTTGACATTGGACTGAAATTCTGACAAGATGTGCAGTCTTTCCATTCTTTTTGCTTTTTTTGTCTTTTACATGTTTAGTTTTGTTCTTGTCTCTTTTGTTTTTGTGTTGACTTTGTTTTAAACTTTTAATTATACATTTATACTATCAATTTCAATTCAGTGTGAAGTTTTGCATCAAGTCACAATCTTTTTTGACAGATGCATTCAGCGTAAACAATTCATGTGATTGATAAACTCATATTATCAACCTTGACACAGAAATAGTCTGTTGTACAAGCAAACAATCAAGGATTAGAAGAAAGTTCCAGTCGTAAAGCTTGCGGTTAGGAGGCGTATACTATTTACCTTGAACGCATCTGTCAAACTAGAAGATCGTGACATAATATAAAACTTCAACTCAACTGCAACCTTTAGTAAAATGTTTAAATATTATTCACCCTATTTCTCATACATACTTAAAGGAAGTTATTTGTACATTCTTTTCACATGTATAAATATTGAAATCCAAAATTTATTTGAAGTAGTAAATAAAATAAGTTTGAAAAAATATTTAACATATATACCAGTATTAAGAATTGGTGATGTAACTGCAATACAGGTTTATTGAGTATTTGTTGTCTTTTTCACTGAGGGTTTAATTTTTTTGTTTAATTAAATCAACAGCAATGCATTGGATACTATCCCCCGAGCCGCCTGTGCCCACACTTGCAGTGCCTCTAGTTGAAGACCTCATCTCTAGCCAGGAATTTATTTCTGCAGAGAATCCAATCGCTTGGATGAAGCAAAAATTAATGATAAATGAGCAAGAAATCCAACAGGTAAAGACAAATGAGTTGCATAATGAATAGAATGTATTCTGTTTCATTATGAATGTTGTTTAAGTTTTAAGATTTTTGTCATGTTTTAGATTGCCTGTCTTACCACTGGTCAAAAGGAAAATTGCATGTGGTCATCTGTTAGGAAGAATAGATCAACAGCTTCAAACTTTGGTTGTGTTTTGGCAGCGATCAAGAGAAATAGGTATACTGGTAGTTTACATGCCTTTATATGTATATGTAATTATAAATGATACTTGTAAAAGCAGTTAATTATAAAATCAAAAATATTGAAAGTTTGCTCCTTATATAACAGATATCCTGTCTCCTTATACAAAAGATTATGCTCAGCTTATGATCTGTCAAAGAAGGATGCCATTATTTGGGGGACGTGCAATGAAAAAGTCGCAATTGAAAAGTATAGAACTTTTGGGGATGCAGTTGTAGAGCCAACAGGTTGGTACATTTCTTTCCTAAGCAAAATTTCAATTTCTTTAAAGCAAATAAAAATTGATGATAAATAAAAATTTTTCTTGAGCTAATTTATTTAAAATTCAGTTATTAAACTGAAGTTGAAGATAATGAATATAAATATACTGTTTGTATATTCTATTTATAACAAGTCATCAATGCATAAGAAAATCAGAGTGTTGCATATTAATGCTATTTTGAAACTTTATAATACTGTTCATATTAGGTATCTGGCTACACTGTAATGGGGTTCTTGGGTCAAGCCCCGATGGACTCATTCGTTGTCCTGCTGCATTCGGATTCAGCTATCAGAATCCAGGACTCGCTGACATATTAGAGATGTCAAACGTTAAGCCAGAAATACTGGAGGTGAAATGCCCCTTTTCAGCAAAGAATATGACAATTCCAGAAGCTATTGAAAAAGTACACGATTTCTGCCTAGGTAATAATAGTGTGTATGTATTTGTTTGAATACGTTTCATGTACTGAGATATTACTTTAAATAATTCCAATATATTAGTTTGGATAAATTTAAGTACAATTTAGCAATTGTTAAAAAAGTTTTTTCCTTCTGTTGTAATGTTAGTCCTCAAGGCAGATGATTTGCCTTCTCACTTTATTGTACAGTAAGGAACAAAATACTTATACATGTAAATATTTATTAGTTAAATAGTTTTGTCTTATATTAATGATTGAGGCACCAATGAAAATTCTTATTCTTTAAAAATCTTCAACATATATATTTTTTTCATATAGAGGTTCAGGATTTTAATGGAGTCAAGTCCTTCAAGCTATGAGAGAACACCAATACTATGATCAAGTGCAAGGACAGCTTCATATAATTGGGAAATCCTTGTGTGATTTTATGGTCTGGACACCAAAAGACTGTGCGATTGTGAGAATTAACAAAGACATCAATTGGGAGATCAACATATCTGTTTTGACAGACTTTTATTTCTGTAAATTTCTCCCGTATTTACAACAGCTATAAGATATAACATTAAACATGGTGAAAACATTTTAATTTTAATATCTTAGTTATCTACACTTGCAAAATTCTGAGCAATTTCCTGCATAAGGGGATCCTGAAAATTGACTAAAACACAGCATAATTGAAAGACTTTTGTAGAAATATATCTAAATTGCTGCGGAACATGCCTTGAAATTTCATAATTCTTAATACGCTCATTTGCTCTTTCAACATGTATGCGTGACTTAGCAATTCTTCGACATAGTTGCACTTGGACCTCACTGGAAAGGGAGGAATATTTAGATGTACTCCTTGGGGGCAACAACTTGTGAATAGTGAACCCTTTGTCTGCTAAGATCATATCACCTGGAGATAACTGTTCTAAGACTTTACAATGTTCTACAATTGCAACATCAGATGTGCTGCCAGGGTGCAATTTAGTAATAAATACCAAAGCACCATTAGGTGCAACACCTGTAACACTTTTAACAGTGTGAGAATTTTTGTATCCGCTGTATGTGCTGGCCTGCAATCTCATATCATTCCCTGGAACATCCTGGGTGATTTCTGTTGCATCAAGTACTATTCTACATGAACTAAAATCCCCAAAACTTGTAGGCATAGACCCTTGCACATTCGTCATGAAATTTTGTGGATGTAATGATTAGGTTCTTTAATTGTGCTCATTGGATTTAAAAATTCGAAGCTTTTATTAGTTTCCATGGAAAGGGGGGAAAAGTCAAAATTCTTGAACTTCGATTTTTAAATCAAAGCACTGAAAGTACAGATAGGTTTGATGGTTGTCCAAGTTTGAGTTCTAGAAAAATGTCCATCCAATTGAGCTAAAACCTTTTTAAGGCTAATAGGCATGTTGTGTAGATGTATGGAACAAAGGTCATTTTGTGTGCATACGCATTTACGTGCGGATGCGTGCAACATTAAATGACTTGTATACTGAATATTGCTTTAACTTTTACACTTCTTTGATGAAATGCTCATTTCATAAGGATATTATATAAGGATATTTTAATAGTGTAGATAATATGACATTGTCAGATTAGCACGAAATGATGTGCATGCACGTGCACTTTGCTCTGATTGGCTGAAACAAAAATTTTAATATCTCTTTCTTTTTTGATGAAATACATTGAAATTTTAAATAAGTCATGCATTACGACAAGTCATGCATTACTACAATATGATATATAACAATAATCATGAAAACATGTGCATGCATGTGCACTGCAATCTGATTGGCTAAAACTTTAAATGGCTATAACTACTCTAGTTTTGAACCAAACAGGATGGGATTTATAACTTGCATATGCATGCACATGCGCTTAGCTCCGATTTTAAAATCAAAGTACCGAAAGGACTGATACGAGTTGATGGTTGTCCAAGCTTAGCTAATGGGCATAGTATTACTGATGACAAAATGAAAATTCTCCAGTTCGGGAAACATACGCTATTGCTTGCAATAGCAGACTTTCTAGTCATTATGTCGTCCCGAACGAAGTTGGGGACGACATATTGCGATTGTATGCATGTTTAAGTACATCCTCAGTCTATCAGTAATATGATCATTTTTCTGCTAACTGTTGTTGTTGAAACGCAGGTAACAAAATTCGATGATAATCAGCATGCACAAAATTTTGCTGGCTAACTGTGACCTCTTAGCTTCGGACGTAGGAAATATTGATGCTTAGTAGTGCCTGACGCCATGGCATAAGGCAAGAAAAAAAATGCTCAATAACAATAAAGAAAAAGTATATAAAGCTCAAAAATAAAAAGATAAAATCACCCTTATACTTCATCAAAGTTAAACCTATTGTTCTTATATAAAATTTAACGATGCTTTTTCATTCGCTGCATCTAATAATTCCTTATATCATTCATACTTTAACTGAAACCTGTTCTTTTCACCTGTGTGCTGTTCTTAAGCCCGGCTTTCAGTACTTTCAGTACTTTGATTAGATTTCTTTTAAAAACTTCAAGTGACTGTTCTTTCCTAAGATCCAGCGGGAGGCAGTTCCACAGGGTGGCTGAAGATACATCAAACCTTCTATCTCCATACATCTTACTTCGAGTGCGTGGTTTAACAAGGCTCAGTGAATCCCCAGACCGTAGTGAACGTTGTGGGCGATAGATCTGAACAAGTTCCTGGATGTATTTCGGGGCTAGCTTCTGTAAGGCCTTGAAAGTGTACAACAGAATTTTATATTGTGCACGGTATGCCACAGGTAGCCAGTGAAGAGTTATGAGAATTGGTGTTATATGTTCATGTTTTCTCAAACGTGTCACCAGTCTGGCTGCAGTGTTCTGAACTTTCTGCAACTTTTGCAAGGATGTGGCATTGAGGCCAAACAATAGTGCATTGCCATAATCAAGTCTAGATGTCACTAAAGATCTAACAAGTGTCCTGCAAGCATCCTCTGTTATGAGTGATCTTATTCTACCGATGTTACGAAGATGGAAATAACAGGATCTTGTAACCGAATTGATTTGACAGTCCATGCTTAATTTGCTGTCGAAAAATACCCCGAGATTTTTAACACAGGAAGCATTACTGATGACTGATCCACCAAAAGCGAGTTTACGTCCTGTAAATTCATTTGCCATACGTTTCGGTGTAAATATGATGAGTTCAGTCTTATCCTGGTTTAACTTAAGGATGTTGTTTTGCATCCAGTCTTGTATATCAGACAGACACCGTTCAAGTCTATTCGCAATGTCGTCCCAACTGTCCTTCGGGTTAATAATCAGGTAAACCTGTGTGTCATCAGCATAACAATGGTAATACATGTTATGTCTCCGGCAAATTTCTCCGATGGGTTTTCTCCGACAGTAAAGATTTTGAGGGAAAAAAGCACACAAGGTACTTGTATATAAACATTTCAGCGAGCGGCTGATATCTTTTTAAATTGTAGTAGAGAAAATAATCTATTTAAAAGCATTTTTGATGGGATTTGTAAACTATCACATTGTCTGAAGGGTTAAGGCACTGAAATTCTTTTAAAAATACACCGCGCAGATAGAAAGATGATCGTAATTAAAACAACTTTTCAGATTGTCTTAACATAAAGTAAATCTCCAGTTCAAATGCATTAAAGTAAATTGAAAATTGATGAAAAAGTGAGATTTGAAAAAGAAAAATTAGGAAGGAGCCAGTATAGTACATGTATTTTGAGTAAAAACGGCGATTGTGGGGAAAACGTGTGGTATGTTATACGAGAAATGTAAACGTTCGACTTTCTTAGGTCTGAAGCAGTTACCTCTCTTGTATTGCATCCTCAATAAGAATTTCTATAATCCACTCCACACCCGCTGGTGATACACATATAAGAGCCTCAGTCGACAGACCAAGCCCCAAAACCATAAACTGGGAACAGACTGAAGTCAAAATTTCAAATCTAAATAACTTTTGAAATAGTTCTGATAAGAAAACAAAATTGGAATATAGGACAGTCATGTATAAACCTGTAAATCTTTGATAACTTAAGTGTTATAAATGACAAGTCATTCAAAAAAATTATTCTCAGTTTTTGGTTTTAAGGCCAGTATCATAGGCGTCGGAACATTATATACAAAATGAAAATAAAAATAGACATTATATAGGCATTGAAAATTGGAAATTACTATTTTTGTTAGTTTAGCCCCCCCCCCCCCACTTTCGATTAGCCCCCCCCCCTTTCAATTTGCTTCCGACGCCCATGAGTACAGAGAGGAACCACTGTAAAATTGTACGTGCAACTAGAATCGAATTGTAATTTCCATTTGGCTGTTTTAGTAATAAAAACATGTCCAAAAAAAAATAGGGGTACTGTGAGCAATGAGCTCACTAAATGATACCCCCGCCTCCCATTTGAATATAATGGCAGTGTCCATGTTTTGTTGCGGGAAACCCAGAATATATGTCGGGATCAAAAAGTTAAATAGGAGATCACAATGGCATTATGTAATAAAGATTCTGTGAAAGTGTCATCAAATTTCATTGAGTGATTATAAAAAGAGTTAATTGCGGATAAGAGATGGGTACCCCAAAGCGTAACAGACAGACCGACGGACGGACATCCCAATCACTACAATGTATAAAACCTCCCGCTTTTCAAGCGGGGGTATAAAAAAAAATAGCGACGGATTATCAAGGACATTCTTTAGGTTATTAATAACTGAATATTCGGTTAAAAGCTATACAGACAAGAGATGTTTGTAAAACACTTATGCCCCGCTCCCCCTACTCAGATTTTTTCAAAGTCCAAAAGGGCATAACTCTGTCTTAAATAGTGCAATCCTACCCAAAACAGAACTTGACCTAGATACTCAGCTTAAAATTCTGTTTACTAAATTTCATTTCAATATGTGCAACCTCTGCAAAGAAAATGAACGGTAACTGCAAATAAGTGGAATTTTCTAAGTCCAAGGGGCATAACTGTAACAAAAAGGGTGCGATCGTACCCAAAAACAGAACTTGACCGAGATATTCAGCTGAAAAATCAGTATACTAAATTTCATTTCAATATGTGCAACCTCTGCAAAGAAAATGAACGGAAACTGCAAATAAGTGGAATTTATCTAAGTCCAAGGGACATAACTCTGTCAAAAAGACTGCGATCGTACCCAAAACAGAATTTGACCTAGACATTCACCTGATAAGCCTGTATACCAAATTTCATTTCAGTATGTGCAACGGTTGTGAAGAAAATGCACGGAAACTAAATAGACCGACAGACAGCAGCAAAGCAATATGCCCTCCCTTCTTCGAAGGGGGGCATAAAAATACTACATAAGACCTACATAAACTACATTGTTTGAATAGAATTAAACCTGTAATGC